GTAGGGGAAGGGGGGAAGGGGGGAGAAGGGAGGTAGGGGAAGGTTGGGAGGATGAAGAGAGGTAGGGGAAGGAGGGGGTAGGGTGAAGGGAGATTCGGAGGTAGGGGAAGGGGAGGGGGTATAGGTGGCATGAGCAGGGGGGAGAAAAATTAGTTTGTGTATAACAAAAGCATTGCAAGCTATAGACAGATACCCAGCGTAACTACAAGGTTCCTGACGCCACGGTAATTGATAATTCATGATTGAAGAAAACGTCCAGATCTTTTTTAAAAATGAAATAAAGAGAAAAAGAACAAATTGAGGGGCTCAATTTATTTCGATATTTGCAAGTGGGTACTAAAAGCTTATCAAACAAATTTAATAAGAAAAAGAAAGAGAAGTTGAGATAGATAAGTTGAACGTGTGATTAAAAATATGCTATAGTGTAGGAGAGATTAGAGAGGGTAAGGAAAGAGTACAACTCAATAATTCTGGATGACACAGATAAGATTAACGAGGTGGAAAAAGTTGGCCCGGTAGCATGATGTTGTTTTCAAGGTTTAGCTTAAGTTGCTCGCAGCTTGGATTATACAGATGAGATCAAACATGTTAGGAGAGATATGGTTGTCTAGGTAACATACAATCCATTCCAACTTTCGATGGAGTTTGATCTGATAGATTAGATTAAGTAAGATGAAATGATCAGTTACGCTAATCATGGATGAGCTTCGTTGTTATGATTTCGAAAGGTACGTTGTAAAAATCGATGACATATTATGATTTGACACGACAGATAGGATAACTGAAGATCAGAACTTACTTTGACAACAATCGATAAGGTTTTATCTGAGAGATAAGATTAACTTAGATGAAAATATCAATTAAGCTAAACTAAAATGAACTTAGCTGTTATGGTTTAGAAACTTTGTTTTTGTTTTTGCTTTGTTGGGGGGGGGGGGGGTTGGTTAAAATAATTGGATTTGATCTGACTGGTAATATTAACTATGATGACAGATCATTTACGCTAGTCTTGGATGCGTTTATTTGTTGTGATTTAGACAAATGTATATTTATATTCTGTGAATTTTGATCAGACATATAAGATTAACCAAGATGACAAGATACGTTTCGCTAATTAAGGATTAGCATAGTTGTAACAGCTTAGACACATTATTGTTTACAATCGATCAGATCTGATCTGACAGATAAGATGAACTAAGCGGAGAAGATCGGTCACGCCAGTCGAGGAAAGACTTGTCTGCCAGGGAGTATCTTTTATTCCTTTTTTAATAGTAAGTGTTTTACGCCGCTCACAGCTGCATAAGGTCATATGAGCGCGCCGAAATACTTTAAACATGTTCAGTTGGTAGGAAATTTTGAATTTTTCCCGGGTGGCGCCGAAGCCTACTCTTATCGATTTATGGACTATTAAGGGATCTTTAACGTGTCCAACTTGCACACAGGACCTCCGACATGTTTTGCCCTTATCCTAAAAGGCTTGGTGTAGATCTTACCTACCATAAGATCACGGATGTAGCTGAAAGACAGCAATAAGAAGAAGTCAAGGAGTAGCAGAGCACAAAGAATCAGGAGCCCAGAGGAGGGTACAAAGGAGGTGAGGGGGTGGTGGCAGAAAGTGAAGATGAAAACAGACGACAGAACATTGTTAAAGAGTAGAACTGGATGTGAGGAGAAATGTTTCTCTCGCTATCCGGAATGAAATCTGGGACCTATTGAATGAGAGGCGAATACCTTAACCTCTAAACCACGGGAGCCGCATGACAAAGAGTTTATCACAGAAAGTTGATCACAGAAAGTTACAGAAAGTTGAACCCGGGACCTACTGAAGGAGAGGCAAATACCTTAACCTGTGGACCACGAGAGCCCCCACGGTGCATCTGTATATATGTATGACTCACGTGAAGTGGCGGCCTCACAGGCTGTGGCCGAGACCTCCTTCTCTATAGCATCCAGCACGTCAAAGTTGTTGGCGCTGAACACCAGGTCCCCGCTACTCGCGATGATCTTCAGCTCGTCCTGGCTGACCCCGGAACCAATTCCGATGCTGACGACCTTGACCCCAGTCGCGTGTAGGGCGGGGGCGGCAGCTTTCGTGCTCTCCGCTGCAAGGGTGATTGGTGGGTGGTTGGTTGGTGGTGGGTGGTTGGTTGGTGGATGGTGGTTGGGTAGTGGGTAGGTGGTATGTGGGTGGTTGGTGGATGGTGGGTGGTAGGTGGGTGGTTGGTTGGTGGGTGGTTGGTGGGTGATAGAAAGGTGGATGGTGGGTTGGTGGTAGGAGGGTGGTTGGTGGGTGGGTGGTAGGTGTGTGGTTGGTGGGTGGGTGGTAGGTGTGTGGTTGGTGGGTATGGGGTCAGTGGTGTCCGTGGGTGAGGGGGGTGGGGTGGGGTTGGTTAACGTGTGTACATTTAGAAATGAAAAAATAGAAAAAGAAAAGAGGGGAGTGGGAAAAGGAGAAAGGGTTTCTAAATCCCTAAAAGCTTATTAAAGAAGGAAGTGCAAAATTCCATCATCAAAATATAAAGTATTCAAGAATAGGCACAGGATAGTAGAAAATCTCAAATAGATAAACCAGCACTGGTCACAGTTGTCTTTGGGCTCATGGCTGAAACCTCCCTTTTTCTATGACCTTAATATTTGATAAACTAAAAAGAAAAAAAAAGTACTGTTGGTAGAAAAAAGTCTCCTGTGCAATTACACATCGAACAATACCCTACAAGCTCAGAAAATGTGGAACTGTTGGTATAGCGCACGTTCTCTAGTATGTATCTAGCGTATAACGTGTAATTTATGTATAGAAAAAAAGAAAAAGACGTGAGTTCAATTCCTGAGTGGGCAAGTCTGTGTCCTCCGATATCTGGACATGTCTTTCTGCTAGTGCAACGTATTCATCCTGGGTTTGTCGTTGTCTTTATTGAGGAGAGTCAAACATATACGTCCAATACAACCGATACCAGAGTTCTGTCGCCAGCTGATCTCTGCACATCGATCTTTGCTGTATCAAGAAGGCTATTCACTATGGATAAACCTCTCCAAAACGACGAGCGTAGTGTCTAGATGTAGAATGTAATTCCCTCTGGGGCAAATCCTCACTGCGCTAGTAAAATTTCATAACTCTGAGTTGTGCCAACTAGCCTTGTATATTGTGTGGTGGTACTATGTCTATCTATTGGGAAATTCAGAACAACAATGTGCTTGCAGTTTCAAAAGAAACATGCACAGCAGGTTTGACCATTATTAGACAATAAATAGTCTCCATAAACAACTCTCCCCCCCCCCCCATTTATATCACAATGAGATGTGCCATTTTACTAGCACAGTAGCAACCAGCAATGGCGTGGTTGTGAAATTGTTCTATTGAAGCAATATTGTGAAATTATGTAGGTAGGTAGGTAGGTAGGTAGGTAGGTAGGTAGGTAGGTAGGTAGGTAGGTAGGTAGGTAGGTAGGTAGGTAAGGATGTATGTATGTACGTATGTACGTATGTATGTATGTACGTATGTACGTATGCACGTATGTACGTATGTACGTATGCACGTATGTACGTATGTACGTATGTACGTATGTACGTATGTACGCACGCACGCACGCACGCACGCACACACGCGCGCACGCACGCACGCACGCATGCACGCACGCACGTACTACGTTTGCCATTGTGAAGCAAACTGCCTTTCTGGGATAAATAAAAATGTAATTGAATCTTTTTTTTTTATTTATATATATATAAACGGGCTACTCACGATAAGTGGACATTCCGTCAGTGACCACGACCGTGACCTTGGCAGCGTTTGGCCTGGCTCCACAAGTGGAGATGTAATAGTCGTTCATGGCAGACTCCAGGGCCAGATGGGTCATGGTGACTCCGCGAGGGTACGGCACGTTTTTCACGGCCTGGGGGATTATTAAATTTTTAAATTTAAATTTAAAAAAAAAAAAAATTTTGGGGGGGGTGGGGAGTTGTTGGACATGTAAGTGAAATAAGATTTGGGAGTGAGGGAAGATGGTAGAGAGGATATGTCAAGATGGAGTTTGGGTGAAAAAGAGGAGGATATAGAAAGAGAGAAAAAATGGTATAGATCTAGTTTTAACGCCCCTTTCAACACTGTCAGGTTGTTTAACAGGCGAGACCTCCGAGTTTAACATCCTTCTCCGAAAGGACCAAGCCAAGAGGGAAATTTTTGTAATGTGCCTTTCTAAAGGACACAACGTTGTACCGAGCTGAGGCTCGAACAACCTTGCTACCGGCGCCACTGGAGAGAGAGAGAGAGAGAGAGAGAGAGAGAGAGAGAGAGAGAGAGAGGAG